TCTGGCCTCAAGCAATTTTTTGCCTCAGCCTCCCAGAGTGTTGAGATTACAGGTGTGAGCCACTGCACCCAATCTTAATAATGTATTTTTAACAATTCATTATAATAATTCATTTAATTCTTCTAGTAACTCTACTTTCATTCTCATTTCACAGATGAGGAACCCTAGGTTTGGAGATGCTAAGTTATGGAGCTGTGATCATACAGTCAACCAGTGACACAGTTTGGGCCCTGGCAGTGTGCTGTCATACCTACATTCTTTAAGTACTATTTAGATTTCCAGCTATTTGATGTAAGCTGGCTTGAATTAATTTTCCCTAATGTCTGAATAACTTTTAGCCATGTAGCTAAATTTTACTGTAGATTCCCTGGTATTTTTCCAGTGTTCAATCCTCCAGACTCTTAAATGTTATTGTTATGTGTAGAAAAATGGATAGATACTGATTTAGCCATCCCATTAGATCTGCAACTTCCATAAAATTTTCATCTTGATCCAGAGTAAGAATTACATTTTTACAATATGATCTAGTACAGACATACCTAAATGTGTAATTAAAACATGACTGCCGCTTTACCCTTACTAAGTGGGACATGTTCTGATATTGTTCTATTCTATTTCATTTCTGTTCTATTTTATTAAAAACAGGTCTCTAGAGAGAGACTAAATTTCATTTCTCACTAGTGGGTCAGAGCCCACGCTTTTGAAAAACAGTTCTTTAGCTGGATAACTTTTGCCGTTCTTTAGAAATAGTCTCACAGTGTGACGTGCAGCACCTCAGCATCCCTGTAGATAACGTTTTCAAATTGTGAGGAATTGCCAAGGTGAAATTGGCAGTAGGGGACCCGGAAGACGGTGGCATTCTCTCTCTGAAAAAGGTCAAGACTATAAACCTGGCTTGCTTTGGAGCACTGAAAACTTCAGCCTTAGAATCAGCATCCCAGCAGAATAATTATTAGCATGGCACGAAGTCCAATGAGCCAGTGAATAAAGGCTTGGAAGCCTGTTCTACGTGGGGCAAGGGTTCTTTAAGAGTGTTCAAGGATTTTTAATAGTTCCTTAAGCAGAAAGGCACCTCTCACCCTTCGGCAGCATGTTGAAGAGAACTCAAGAGTCTCATGGAGTTTGCTGGGTTGGATTCAGCTGCTGAGAAATGTTGCAGTTGTTGACTTACTGGTTGTCATGGTGTCAGGGGCCAGCAGTTACTAACAAGCATGATCAGAGTGAGGCATAAAAGTGAAAGGAAAAAAATACAGCAGTTGGGCCCAGTCTTTTTGAAATTCTCAGGCACCAGTTTTTTGTTTATTTCTTATTTTCCTGTTTGGGTGTAACAAAAAAGGGCTTAATACTACTAGTTAGTTACCATTTATCTAATGTCAACTGTAGCCTCAGTACTTGCTCATTGCCTTATGTGGATTGCTTCATTTAGGACTTAGAGAAACCTAATGGGGTAAATGATTATTCCTGTCATTTTAACAATGTGAACACTGAGGTTTAGAAAGGCCAAGTAACTTTCCAAAGATTATATAGTTAGTAAGTCATGGACATGGGATGGAACCAAGAAAATCTGAATCTAAAGTGTGCACTATGGACAGCCAAACTTCAATCTGACGATTTGACTTCCCCTCATTGGTGACTGGGAGGTGAGTTTCACAGAGAGGGAGGAGAGGTTGGTGTGGGAGGTGTCTGTCTGAGGTGACAGGGACTCAGTCTTTCTATATTGTGTGCGTCATCTTTTCTATACGTGGTGCTGTGAGTGTCTACTGTCCTGCTAGTAAAACTCCCAGTCTCTTGTTCTTTCAGATTCTCAGTGTTTGTGGAACAGGTGAACATTTTTGGATGCTGATACTCAAGTGCTTGAATTGGTAGTACTTTGATGGACTGTAGAGGTGGCCAAGGAGAGACCTGGAAAGCAGACATGGCGTTCAGGGCGGGCGGGTCTCTGAGGAGCATGCCTGGAAGCTGGCAAAGTGAAATGATCTGGATGATCTGGCAAAGCACAGGGACAAAGCAGTGGGTGACAGATGATGGAAATATGCCAGAAAGCCTGAAGACAGGGAGTGGCAACTGGGAGGGCTGAGCAGGCAAGAGCGGAGGAGCCCAGCCCTGTACTCAGATTCTGGGACTAGACTTCAGTTCCTAAGAGGCATCGTAAAGGCAGGTGAGCACCGCTGATAGAAGAACTGAACACTACTCCAGCTTGAACATTGGTCTACGGATCCTTAAATTCTCCTTGAATAGTAACAGAATTGGCCAAGAATTAGCTTAATCTTACAGCCGAGGGCTAATTGGTTCTAAATGTGGCAATGGAAACTTTGGGGATAGCATGCTTTGTTGTCCTCATGTTGAAAATGGAGACACAGATGACTTTGCCCAGAGAAGCATTTCTGCTGAGCAAAATGTGCCAGAAGGAGAGGTTAAATGCTAAAAGCAAAAATGTTATGACAGAAAAAAAATCCAACAGTTGGTGTTTTTGATTTTTTTTTTTTTTTTGAGACGAAGTCTTACTCTGTTGCCCAGGCTGGAGTGCAGTGGCGTGATCTTGGCTCACTGCAACCTCTGCCTCCTGGGTTGGAGCAATTCTCCTGCCTCAGCCTTCTGAGTTGCTGGGATTACAGGTGTGCACCACCACACCTGGCTAATTTTTGTATTTTTCGTAGAGATAGGGTTTCGCCACTTTGGCCAGGCTGGTCTTGAACTCCTGACCTCAGGTGATCCACCCACCTCGGCCTCCCAAAGTGCTGGGATTACAGGCGTGAGCCACTATGCCCGGTCAATTTTTTTTTGAAAGGAGTGACAAAGTCCTGGCAGGGACTGAAAAATAAGAGTGTGTGTGTGTGTGTGTGTGTGTGTGTGTGTGTGTATGTGTGTGCAGGAGGATGTAAGGAACTGGGAAAGTGATTAGGAAGCTTTTCCTTAAAAGACAGCCTCCAAACCATTTGAAAGTGAGAACAGCAACAATAACTATGATTTAATAATCATTAACTCTTTTAAGTATGCTCAATGAATGCAGAAGATTAAATTATTTTAAGAGATTTGAAATTATTTCAACTTATTTGGCTGCTGTATATTTCATTTTGTGGCCTAGGGCAAATGACTATGCAAACTCCAGTTGTAGTTCTTTGAAAGGAAGTGGATAGTTGGACATTGAAGACTGATCCTACGCTCTTTGGCTCACCATTAGAATTGTATCACCACGTGCTCTCTGCCCGGCTGTGGAGGGTGCTCCTTTAGCTTCTTATCAGAACCCTGTGGGAAAGATCCTGGATCAAACATTTCTGTTGTGGAGAAGATTCCATCAACAGTGCTTTTCATTTGTTCTTTATTTTACTTTTTTCTCAAGAAGATGGCCACACACAGAGAGAATCATACTTTTAATTCATAGAGGAACATTGCCATCTGGATGAAAGATTACATTCTGAAGTCTCAATAAATGAGTTTTATTTCCAACTTTACTTGTGACTCACTCTCTAAGATGCTTTTTCTACATCTGTGAAATGGAACAATTAATCTCCACCTGTGTCACAGTAGTGTTAGAAAAAATGTGTTACAAAATGCCTGCAGTATACTTCCAGCTTCTTTTGGAGGAGTATAAAATATTACCATTATGTGGAACTGATAAATCTTAGTATACGAGTGTGAATTTTTATAGCATTACAGCATGATACATGGAGATGAAACTGACAAATTTAGGTTATCATATATACTGACATAGATTCTCTGGATAATAAAATAGTTTCCTGAAAGAAATTTTGAGTATCAAGAACAAAATAAAAATAAATATTTAAACACAGTATTCACAAATTTTTAAATATTCTTAGCACGAATACCCTAGGCTAGTGTTTTCCAAACCATATTTATAATGCTATTTTTATTGTTTATTATAATAAATTGCATGAGAAATTAAAAGGTAGTCAATGAAGAATATGTTTGGTGCTCAAATAAGTTTGAGAAATGCTAGGTTGAATAAACAAAGTTCAACAGATTTCTGTCTGTGCATTTTGCTTCTCCAAAAGTGAAGAATGGTTTACAGCATTTCAAAACTACTTTGACAAGCGAATACAGTTGGGAAAAAGTTGTTATGGATCAGAAACAAATGTAAAAGCACTTATGTTTAAAATGACTGCTCAGTTTTTGGTTGCTTAAGTGTCCTTGGTAATTAGTAATACTGAGAATAAATTATCTTGCTACTTTTGTATACTCGCTAAGTTAATTTAAAAATAATATATTAATATCTGTTAATAATTGTGAGATTTTTAACAGCCTGACTATATACATGAGGATACTGACTATATGATATATGATTCTATTCTTATATCCACAAATATTCTATATGTTTATATAAATTATATACATTCTATTTATACATACATATAAAATTATATGATTCTATTTATGATTAATATATGATTCTATTTATATAGATTATATATTGTATATATGCATATATGAAGAGGGTTTAATCCTATTGAGTTGTTTTCTGGGACTTGTTTCTGTCCATGTTCAAATTTATCCTTCCTTTTCTATGTGTTTATAAATTGTATAGAAACGGGAAGTAGAGGATTTTAGGGGAAGAAGCAGTAAGTATTATTAATTGAAGCCTCATAAGTCATGCAGGTTGTGTTAATTTCTTAGTTGTGAGGTATGAAAAAAATCACTTTTTGCTCCTTGAAATTAAAGAAAACTTTGTAAAAAGCCATGATATTCAAGGTTGTTTCAGAACATAATGATAGACTTGTCAAGGAACATCAAGATCCTAAAATATTCTGTCATTAGATGTTGTCTGTGTTTGGCAAGGGTTATGAAAGCTCTGGCTGGAGAAAAATGTTTTTGACTTGGCTCCTTGGAGACTTGCTGGTTGAAGTAGCTACGAAATTTAACAGCGCCCCCTGGAGGCTAGAATCGGAACTGTCACCGGCATAATTTCGTTATTGTTTTTAACTTTTCAGTTAAAAAACTTTTAACTTTTCAGTTAAAAAAGAAAGCAAGCGTTCTTTGGCTGTCTCTGTGCCGATGCAGAGGGCACAACTGCTCTGTGGCACAGCCTCTGTGATCTGCTGCCGCGTGAGGGTCCTGTCATCTTGTCTTTCCGTTGCTTCTTCCTTCAGGGCACCAGGGACACCACCAAAATGGTTTTAGCTGATGACTGTGTTGCTCCAGTCTCTTGGGTTGTGCACGGATTGTTTTGAATAGGATGAGAAAGCTCTTCTTCTCAAATGAACACTCTTTCTCTAATGAGAATGTGATCAACATTTAAAATCTCTCCCGGGGAAGGAACTGAGAAGGAAACATTTTTTCTTTTTTTTCCTCGGGAGTTTTGTGACTTATCTGCCAAGAACGTGAGGTGTGGGGGATACTCAGACATTTTACTCCAAAAGCCATTTCAGAAGGCCTGATTTTGGAAAAACATTTTCTATCTGACAGTTTGTGCTGCTTCTATCTTTTCATTTCCAGGTATGAAATGAGGTATGGTTTACATAAGTGCCACTGCTGCTCACTCCACACAGAGCTGTTAATAAGAATGAATTGTTATTTTTGGAAACAGTTTGGACTGTTTATCCAAAGGAGATAAATATTAAATAGTTTTTCGTCAAACATAATATGTATGTATTAAAGACAAGCATCATATATCCCAAAAAGAATATGAAGTAAAGAAAAAACAACCAAGGTTGTAAACTGAAATGATTTTTATTATTGGTTAGGTTTGTTTGGGATTTAGTGTTTTTGGGTCTTTCTCTGTTGCACAGGCTGGAGTGCAGTGGTGTGCTCACAGCTCACTGCAGCCTCGAACTCCTTGGCTCATGAGATCCTCCCACCTTAGTCTCCTGAGTAGCTAAGCACCAGTGTGCTCCACTATGCCTATTTTTAATTTTTTTTTCGTTTTTTGTGGAGACGAGAGTCTTGCTATGTTGCCCAGGCTGGTCTTGAATTTCTAGCATCAAGCATAGATCTTTTTAATGATAGCCTTCTTCTCTGAGTGTCATAGGCATGATGCATGGAGTGTTTGCATGTGGGACAGAGTCCTGGCTCTGTCACTTTCAGTCCAGTGACCTTGAACAAGTTGTTTGCGCTCTCTGTTATCTGTAAAAGAGGAATAAAACGATCCGTCCAGTCCACATTTTAGAATTCACATTGTGTTAAAATCCTATGTACTCAGAATACAGTTAAGGACCAAACCACTGTGTGTTTGTGTTGTTGTTATTTTTCTAATGCTTTGTGTAGTGTGGAAACTGATTGGTTTCTGGTGTCTTTGGCAACAGCAGTAAGTAGTAGAACAGTGAAAAAGGAGCGTTTATGCTGTTCTCCAGCAGCATAAATGAGGATGCAGGCAATTTGGAGCCGTGTCCCACAGCAAATTGTCTTGGCTGATGAAGGAAGAATTTGCACCTGGCAAGAGAAACGGACAGGGGGACTATTTTAAAGACCCTTCAGACAACATTACTAGAGAGTAACACTTTATTTGAGCTGTACAGATGAACGGAGTTAAGTCCATACCTGAGGAGCTATTGGTGGCAGAGTACTGTACAGGCATTTATCTTAAGATGAGTTCGGCATGGGGCTGGAGTGGGGCTGGTGGCCTGGGGGATGTCAGAGAGCACTGGTGAGCAGTAAATTGATGATGGATTGGGAAGCATGCCGGGTTGAGGAGCATGCTGATAGAACCAGTCTCTCCTTTTGCCCCCCAAATACAAGTCTGCAAGTGATCAAAAGTGGGCTATATTTAAATAATTGGCAAACAAAAATTGTAAAGTTTTTGCATTGAAAGGTCAGTGCTGGTAAGATAAAGTGTCTTGTAAATTAAGATTTGAAGAAATGCATTAAAATGTTTTACAATTACTTTCTGAGATTTCTGTATATCACACTAAAATTTTTTATATCATGTTCATCAAAGTTATTGACCTGGTAAGAAAATAAATCCTTGTCTTTAGACAAAGCCTCTTTGGACTTACAGAACAAATAAAGGTAAGAATATTTAAAAAATAGCACCAAACAACCAGATTTCATTGTCTATACTGACTATCCAGTGATGTTGCTTAAGTGAGACACAGTTCTTAGCTGTTGGCTAAGCAGGGATTTAATTTAATTTGATAAGAAATAGGCAGTTAAAGCAGTTGATTTCTTCCTTGTCTGGCAACTGCTTTCTATTTGCCCACATTTTATAAAAGAATTTTGTGCTACTGGCAGTGTGAGGAGCTTGGCACAGTCTTTAGTACATATTAAGCTCTCAATACATGGTCATTAGCAATATTATTAATTATAAGTATTCGCTGTCATCATCAGCGCATGTAAGTCCAAGTGGAAGGGCAAGGGGAGCTGGCTTTACGGACAACTAGATCCAGCATATCAAACATGATCTTTCTAATTTCTGCCTCTGCTTGGCAACTTCATTCTCTCCTGACAGCTGCTTCTCCGCTCAGCTGGGGACATGGCAGCAGCGGCTCTGTCTTGTCACCTTTGTTGTAACCAGACAGATAAAGACACAATTCTCCATCAGCTCAGGCAGAAAAGAACCCTGATTGGTCTGGTGCAGCTCATGTGCTCACATTTTGGACCAATTACCAATCAGTTTCATTGCAACATTTTGTAAGTTGTAAAGACACATGAGAATACATGGTGTTATAATTGTTAACATCATTATTGTTTTATTATCTCTCGCTTCTGTAACTGGCTCACTGCTACTTCAAAATTTGGTACAGATGTGGCCTTTCCAAGAGACTTCTTTTCACCTCCTCAGAACGGCAGGTGTAGCCCTTCTTTGTGTTCCATGATACTTGGTGCTTTCCCTTGTCCTTGCATTTATTGTGCTAGGTTCAGCCCTCGACTCTGAGCTCTTTGAGGGAAGAAGATGGTTCTTCATCTATAAAATAATAATTTTGTCAATAAATATTTATTAAGTGTGCTAGAAGACAAATTTTTGTGACAGAGACACACAATTAATTATTAAGTATTATTGGGTACTTAATAAATATTTATTGACAAAATTATCATTTTCCAGATGAAGCATTGAACTAAATTCATACTGAACCAAGGATGCCCCTTGGAAGTTATTATTTAAAATAAATCCATTAACAGGGTCTGTTACCCTGTAATTTGCTTCTGCCAATCCTATGACTATATACTAACTGCACTGAGGCAAAATTATCTGAAGATCATAGCCAGAGTTAATGTTAGTTGAACACTTACTATGTGTTGGACTCCGTTCTAAGCACTTTACATGTTTTAACACACACAGTCTTTGTGAGAGTGGGTTGTTACTATTATTATTCTCATTTTACAGAGAGGGAAATGAGGCACAGAGAAATTAAGTAACATGCTTAGGGGCACCCAGCTAATACATACATGACGGGAATGGATTTCAAATGCAATTAATCTCGTTTGAAAGCCTAGACTCTGAATTACAGGCTGCTAGTGTGTAATGTTTCCTGAAATGAATTTTAATCATATAATATCCACACAGACACACCTTTTTGCTGGTAGTAAGGGAGCAAACTCTCTAATTCTTTCTTCTCTACTTTGAACTGATCTCAATCACTCACATCAGCACCACCACCACCAATATTAAAAGAAACCTGCTAAGCTAGCCTATTAAATGTAGGATACAGTGCTAGGTACAGGAACAAGAGGTTCATGACATATCCTTTGCCTTCAAAGAGCTTAAGCCTGGGCGTGGTGGCTCACACCTGTAATCCCAGCACTTTGGGAGGCCGAGGCAGGCGGATCGCCTGAGGTCAGGAGTTCGAGACCAGCCTGGCCAACATGGTGAAACCCCATCTCTATTAAAAATACAAAAATTAGCTGGGTGTGGTGGCAGGCACCTGTAATCCCAGCTACTGGGGAGGCTGAGGCAGGAGAATCACTTGAACCCGGGAGGCAGAGGTTGCAGTGAGCCAAGATCACACCACTGTACTCCAGCCTGGGGACAAGAGTGAGACTTCATCTCAAAAAAATAACAAAGCTTAAAATCCTGGTAGAAATATGGCCCATATACATAGGAAGATAAATACCTTTCTGGATAGTCTGTGCTAAGCACAAAATGAAATACAGACAATAAAGTGTTTGGGAGTGGTTACAGCATTTTAAAAAGTGGCAGAAAAATCTGGATTGAAACCCGTGAGATGAGGCGCACTCCAGTAGACTGTCAATTCCTCAAAGATCATGGCAATGTCTTAGTAATCTCAGGATAAACACAGTGTCTGCTGCTGTGCGGGGCAGACCCTTGTCTGTGTTGTGAAGTGAATTGGATCCTAGCTGTGTTACTTACAGCACGCCAGCTACCTTCTTTGTGCTGCAGTTGACTCATCTTCCTATTCTTGCTGTGTTCGTTATGAAGTTAACAAGCTAATCTTGTGAAAGTTGGTGGCAGAGTTCTTAGCACCCAACACTGGGTGCCCTCACTAAGTGTCTAGTACCAATCTAGGAGCTCAGGAAGGGGACATAGGCATGGGCTAATTCCAATGGCTTTGTCAAGTCATCCTGTGGGCATTTGGAGAGGAGTACCCTAGGGCTTTTCTTCGGAAGCTGCGATATGCTGTACTCAAGTGTGGTGTCTCTAGTGACAAACTTCTCCATGGGGAGGCTTGCTGTTGCAGTTGCTGGCTCAGCTGGTTGTTGGAGGGCCCTGGAGATGTAAGCTGCTGGGATGAACCCAGATTTACACTCAAAACAAGGCACCATAAGTCAGCTGCCAGTTCTTCACACTTCTCCAGACTGAGCAAAGCATTGCATTGAAAAGTTGGCCCACAAAACATTTCTGGTGAATCCCAACTGGTTCATAATTTGTATATGCGACTGAAACTATGAACATTTCACGTTCTCTTACATTCTGTTCTCGCAGGCTCCTGCGATCTGTTTTTGCTTTTTCTCACATTGTTGAAGTTATGACACCCATTTTTTGTTTTTTATTTTTTCCCTGCACGAGGTCCTCTTCTCATAGGCATCCATGGGAGTCTGGAGTTATGATTAGTGATGGGAAACAGACTTGTGTCTTTCACTCTCTTGCCACTCTGTGGGGTGGCAGCAGGAGGGAGGCATGCTTTCTCTTTGTGGGCTGGAGCCCCCTGGGTGATAATTTTAGAACACGGACCTTACCCTCCCACCATGTTTCATGGTCAAGTTTGCTGATTCTGGAGAAGTCTCTCCTGGTGTATCTGGCATATGAAGTGACCCAAAGGACCTTTATCTTCATGTTTCCGTTGAAGCACACAACCTCATTTCTACTCTATGCTCAGCAGACTCACTATCTTTTCTGCCTCCTCTGCTGCTTGTGTTACGGATAGGAGATAAGATTGGAGAGGAGGAAGAGTCAGTTATGAGTCTCTGACAACAGGGCTGCCACTGCCAAATTGCGTTGAACCATTTTAGGTTTTATCTTCTGGGAAGCACCATTGCATCATAGTCAAACATGAAGGCCAGGAAGCCCAAGAAGTGTGGGTTTCAGTTCCATCTCCATTTAT